AGCCCTGTACTTGAGGTGAATGGCCGTATAAATACAATCCATCCATCAATCAACCAATTAAATAATCCCAATTGCATCATGTTGGTGATCTTGTTTTTATCAGCGATCCTGTTTTTATCCTGTTTTGTGTGGCTGCTGATAAAAACAGGATCGCCAACATGATCACCAACATCTGATAATGGATATGGCACAACAAGAAGAGAAGAATTACATTAGGAATTAATGCATCAATCCTAGATGGATTTTCTGGGAATTTCTAGACAAACTTACAATATATGCAGAAAAAGCCAAATATGGGGGCCGGGAAACTTCCTAAATGAAAAAGTTGACACTGGAAGGGCTAGCACAACAGTTTTAATATCCTTTGGATGAATTTCAAAGTCAGCGTGCAAAGTGAGTCTTGCAGATTTAACCACAATCACATCATTGTCTCTCCTTTATCTGTGGAATTATTAGACCAAACTTTTTCTATTATTGTTATTTGATGGCTTTTCTTCACACCCCACCCACACACCCCTTCAGAGTTTATCTATGGTCTGCTAATGGCCTTTTTAAACCAATCAGGATATCCAGTTTTATCATGAGTCAGATAAGTCATATAAGGAATACCTATCTTCCAGGTTGAAAGGAGGGGTCTTTGGTGCTATCTGAGCTTGCCTGTTTTCATGATCCAACTAGATAACATATTCAGTGCTAGAAGGGGGGAGGAGGACGACTGTGGGGTCCTTGGTGCTCTCTGAGCTTGCTTGTTTTCTTGCAGACGTTTCATGACCTAAACTAGGTAAGTCATCGGATCTCATTGAGTCTTTTTACACACACACACAGACACAGACACAGACACAGACACAGACACACACACACACACACACACACTATTTCTTCCAGACAAGATTTCAATTATTAAAAAAACTTTAAAACTGAGTCTGAAAATCCTGCGAGCTGAGCTGGATGGGCTTGCGTTTCCCTGTGTGTGTGCCGGTGTGTGTTTTAATGAAACCAACTCATTGTCCTTGGGAGCAAAGAGGGAAAGGGTATCAAAACCCCAGATTGCTTTGAGTAGCTCCAGTGCCTGTTTTCGCTCTCCCAGACAGAAGTTGATGAAATAAAGCTTTAATGCCCAATTTTAAATGGAGATGGCAAAAAAACAAACAAACAAAAAAACAAAAAAAACCCAAAAAACAAAACCGACTCACAGAAGATCCCTGAAACCTTCATTCCTTCTGGGTTAGGAGATATAACAGTCCCTCTCCCCCCCCCCTTTATGTTGACTGTATGCTAATGCTAATCCATGATTTGCTTTAGCCATGCAAATTGGCTGGTTACCTGTTATGCTGCAAAGACCATGTTTTGCAACCCAGTCTTCCCACAACCCTTTGGATTTCTTGATTCACAAACACGGTTCAGGAAAAACTGTAGATGAACCCACTAAAATCAACGGGAAAGATCCTGGCTTATTATTCTAGGCATGTTTCCCCAAACCTGCCCATCTTCCCCAGACAGCACACTGTATACTGGCAGGACTGGATGGGAGATGTAGTCCAGCATTTCTGGACAGGAAAGCGACTCTTCTTTAAAATCCTCTGATGTCACTGTTTCTCAGTCTTGCCCTCAGAAGATGTGTGGACTTCAACTCCCAGAATCCTCCAGTCAATAAGACTCTGGAAGTTGAAGTCCACATGTTTCCAGGTGGCTAGGATTGAGAATCCCTGCCTTAGAGAAAGCATGCAAAAGAGAATTTAACCGAAAGGAATTAATGCTGGGCTGGGAAAAAATATGAAAGACAATGGGGAATATTCCAAAACGTCCTCTCAAACATGGAATAAATAATCTTCTCCAAGTGAGCTGAACCCTGGGGTTTCGCAACCACGTTTTCCCCTTCCCACCTCAATCCTTTCCCCCTCCCCCCCAAAAGAGGGAAAAATATATATATCTAATTTTGAGCACAATTTTGCATGCCGAGTGTTATGGCTGAGTCTTTCTCCACTAATTTTTCTGCAGAAAACGCTGCGAAAAATATACAGGCGGGGAAGGGAAGAGATTTCGGCTCCAAGCGCTTGGAATATAAAAAGAAAAGTATCATTTTAAAAAGGTGTTAATTTGTAAAGCAGAACCGCCAACAACTTTTGTAGAAGGGATCCAGGGAAAAAAAAAAAAAGGAAAGGCGTAGACTTAAAATTTGGAGTTTTCTCCATATCCCGCGCTGACTTCATTTTAAATAAATGGCGATTGAAAGTTCTCCAGCCGGATTAACACAAAGGACTAAATATCTCAAAATCGAATTTCAGTTTTTCCACTTCTGGACCGAGGTTCCCCCCCCCAAAGCACGCCTTTGGATTAGAATAAGATGCCCCCCCCCGGAAGACAAAAGGATAAATAAAATCAGATAAATCCCGGAGGCGCTGTTCTTGGAAAAGACACCAGCCGCTTCCAAAGCAACAAGTGCGTACGTGTGTAAAAACACAAAACAAAAGGGAAAGTCTCCTAAGTATCAGTCGGATAGTGAAAAAAAAAAACCTCTTGTCTGTCTCCCTCCACCCCGAAAGTCCCCTTAAGTTACGGGGGGGGGGGAAACAGAGGAAATTGGGACGGGGAGAAGTGGACTAGTCAAGCTAAATCCCCCCCCCCCAGGAGCAGAAACTCTTAAGCAAAAAAGAGAGATAAATTCTCTCCAACTTTCCTGAAAAATTACACCCAAGTAAACATCAACAAGGAGCGATCTGACACACACACACACACCAACTGCCCCCACTCCCCACGTCCCCGAGTGATTTTGCATTCAGAATCCTAAACAGGTTTGTGAAAGAAGAAGAAGAAGAAGAAGAGGAAGAGGAGGAGAAGACAAATAGCTATTTAGAGAGAAGAAATAATATTGAATTAAATGGCTTCCAAAAAGACAGTTTGGGGACAGGAGTCTTCCCTCTGCACTTCAACAGAAATAAGAGAGATGGGTCGTTAAATCAACATGTGGGTTTTGTTTTTCTAAAAAATCGGGTTAAGAGTGCTGCGGGTTTGGTTCGAGGACGGGGACTAAAACTGAGCGACTTTTCAAAAGGATCCTTAGTCTTCATCTTTTCCTACACAGAATCCTCCTCCCGTGTTAGTCAGAAAACCGGTTGCTACAAAATCTCAGCGCATCCCTGAAGGGGAAAAATTACAGAGGATGTTGGAGGGATCTAAAAAAAAAAAAAGTCAGAATCAGTTGGGATCCCAGTTCCTGGATTGAGACCGAAGAAAAAGGAGAGGCGGGGGTCGCGCCTGCCCCAACCGGGGCGGGGGGGGGGTAAATTCGGGTCTTCGCGCCCTCGCCGGCGCTTCCCACCGCCTCCGATCCTGAATTTCGCCCCCGGTTGAGCGCCTCGCTTACCTCCGGCTCCGCGGATTTCCAAACTCGCTGGGAGATCGATCGAGTTGCGGCCGAGCGATCCCTCGGCCCGTTAGGTGCGTTGAGAGGAAGATTGATTGATTGATTTGTTTTGAAAAGACGAATCTAGTTCCTAGAGGGCGAAACGTGGGCCCTCGGGAGGCGGAATTTGGCAGGGCCTGTTCCCAAGGTAAAGGGGTGGGTGGTCATCTTGACCACAAGCGGCGATCCTCGAAGCGATTCAGCCGAAGACGCCCCCTACTCATGTCATATTTAGGGTGGCGAAGCCCCGCCAACAAAATTCGTCCCACACTGGGGGAGTGTGCTTATTTCTTGGCTAAGAACCTCTCTATAAGCTTTTTTCCGCAGGTCTCTCTTGTTCAGGAGTATAGCAGAAAGGATCAAGATTAAATTAAAGCAGGACCCCAGTTCTATCCCTCTAGAGATTAAAGTTCGCCAGCTTTATTTCGGAACCCGTTAAACGCCTCTGGGACTATCCACAAACCTCTTACTCCAGACCTGGACCGGCCGCGCCGAGCCCTTCCTTCAACCTCCCCACGAATTTGGACTTTTTCTTTTTTTCTTTTAAACAGAGGCACAAGGGCGTTCAAGAGAGGCCACGGACCCCCACACGCTTTTGCAGCGCCCGTTGTAAAATTTATTGGTCTCTTTTCAAATTCTCTCTCGGAGGGGAAGCTGGGGAAAAAACAGGAGGGCTCTTCAAAAGCTAGCCGAGCCCACCACGGCAGGAGCGAAATAAAATAACATTTAAAAATAAAAAAGAGCCGGCCAACGATTGATTTCGCTCGCCCACCAAACCGAGCGCGGGAGGGAGGAGAAGGGGAGAGAGAAAATATATATAGAGAGAAAAATCACAAGTCAGTCAGAACGCAGCCTACTTTTGCCGGGAAAGTGTTTTCTTCTTGTCAGGGAAATAAAATATCCTCTACACAACACACACACACACACACCCAAACTATGTCTGTGCGTATTCCATATCTGAATATACACCCGTTTTTTTTTCTCCCCAAAGTCTTGCAAATTCGGATTTTCGCACTGCGACCTCCAAGGATCGCGCCACCCAGAGGCGGCCGTCCGGATCTCCCAACCTTCCTTTCCCCCGAAGTAAGCCGAGAAGGACCCCCCCCCCAACCTAGACCCTCGCTCAAAATAGCGGGCTTTCCGCTTCATCTTAAACCGTAAACCCCCTGCATGGCCTCGGTAAATCACCCGGGTTAGGAAAACGAGAGAAGCCGTACAGATTTTTTTTTATTATATATATATATATATATATATATTTAAAAAAATTAAGAATCCAGACGGGATTATTTGGGGAAGTTGGAGAGAAGGGAAGGAGGGAGGAGACAAGGGGAGGGAACGAACGACTCCACCCGAGGAAATAAAAACATGTAAACATTTCACGAGGAAGGTTAATCGACCTCCCCTCTTTCTAAAAGTCTGGCTTTCCCTCCCCCCCCTTCCTCCTTTTTAAAATCTTTTCAAGGGCCTCGGAAACCAGCAACATATATAAAAAAAAGATCCAATAAGCAAGGTATCGGCTCTCCTCCGAATAATCCTTTCCTCCCCTCCCCCGCCCTCCCCCCACCCGAGAAAAACCTCCCGTGGAGTGCTGGAAACAGAAAGGGTCGACGGGGGGGGGAGAGGGAGGGGAGAACAGAGCAATTTTACAGCGCCTTTTGCAAAAAGTGTTTTTTTTTTTTTTAAAAAAAAACAAGTCAATCGGTGCTTCTAGGATAGCCAGACAAGAAATGTCATGTTTTGTTTTTTTAGGTGAAAAACCAACCCAAAGGGAAGAAAAGTTCCTTTTCTGCCCGACGTGGCGCTCCGCAGGCGGGAAAAAGCACCCGGGGCTGGAGGGGTGGGCGGGGGTCTCCTCGAAAGACGGCGTCGGCGGAGTCTCCCAGCGCGGGCGGCAGGCAAGCCGGGAACCTAGCAGCGCCGCGGCGGGAGCCTCGACGGGGCGGCCTCTTAGGCAGGCAGGCAGGCTCGGATGGCGGTGGGCGCTCTCCGGCGGGCTCTCAGATATGAGTCAGTGGGACGGTGCCGTTGACAGCCGGCCCGGCGGGGCTCTGGTGGTAGTGCTGGTGGGCGCCGTGGAGGCGTCCTCCGCTCTGCAGGCTGGACGGGTCGGCCGCGTCTCCGCCGGGCGGCAGGTACATGCTGATCATGTCGCGCAGGTCCCCCAGGCAGGCGCGCTGCGAGTGCGAGGCGATGGCCGGCGGCGGCGAGCTGGGCTCGGCTTTGACCACCGAGCTCATAGTCCCCAGGCTCATGGCGTGGCTCGACGGCGGCGGCTGGCCGTAGGCGGCGGCCGCGGCCGCGGCCATGCTGTAGCTGGAAGCGGCGGCCGTCATGTAAGGCTGCGCCCCGGACATGATGGGGCTGTACTGGAGGCCGCTCACGTCGTAGCGGTGGAGCGACTGGAGCTGCGCGTTGCTCATGGCCGGGTGCTGCCCGTAGCCCAGCTGGTCGGGCATCAGCGAGGCGGCGGCCGCGTACGCGCCGTTGGGCCAGCCGTTCACGTGCGCGTACGAGTCCAGGCGCTGCCCGACGCCCACCGGGCTGCCCACCCCGCCGCCTCCGCCTCCGCCACCTCCGCCGCCGCCGCCCCCGGGACCGCCGCTCGGGGCCAGCAGGTTCCCCGGCAGCGCGTACTTGTCCTTCTTGAGCAGCGTCTTGGTCTTGCGACGGGGCCGGTACTTGTAATCCGGATACTCCTTCATGTGGACGGCGCGCAGCCGTTTGGCCTCGTCGATGAAGGGCCGCTTCTCGGCGTCGCTCAGCAGCTTCCAGTCGGCGCCCAGCCGCTTGGAGATCTCCGAGTTGTGCATCTTGGGGTTCTCCTGGGCCATCTTGCGACGCTGGCCCCGCGACCACACCATGAAGGCGTTCATGGGACGCTTGACCCGGTCCTGATCCGGGCCAGCCGCGTTGGCCCCGCCGACGCCTCCTCCTCCTCCTTTGACGGCGCTCCCGGGACCCCCGTTGCCTCCGCCGCCGGGGTTGGCCTGAGGCGGCTTGAGCTCCGTCTCTAGCAAGCTGTACATCGCCGGGGCGGACAGGAGATGCGCCAGCGTGGCGGCCGGTGGGAGGGAAGGCGAGTCCACGAGAAAAGCCCCGCAGGGAAAAGAAAAATCGGGTAGGGGCCCGCTCCGGTCTCCGCTTCTCGGCAAGCAACGAGGCAGGGCAGGCCGGCCCGGCTGCGGCGACTCTGGCTGACTCTTCCGACGGTGCCCAAACTCAGTCCGGCCAACCAGCCGGCCGCCCCCTCCCCCACAGCCCAGCAACGGCCTTCTCGCCGTGCCGTTTGATTGACGGCCTATAAATGAGGAGGTGGCGACCAATCAAAGCGCAGCACCCTTCCCCCCCCCCACGACGCAGGACCAGGCTCCCCCCACCCCAGGCCAAACCTGCAAACTTTGAGGAAAGCCGCTAGCTTCCTCCGACGCTTCCCCCCTCCCCAAAACGCAGCAGCAGAGAGGGGGCAGCAGAGGGCCCCGGATGGGGTTGGTAGAGTGTGTGGGGGGGAGGCTCTGCCCACCGTTTGCAGGCAGGGGTCCTGCGTGTCCGTGGACCGAGACCCACCATATAACCCGATCTATAGAAGCCGCCTCGAGCGTTCGCCCTTCACCAAAGGCAGCCCAAACACGAAAGGAAGAATAGAAAATCATATTAGCTTGTGTGAATGACTTTGGGGGGGGGCAGGGATTGTCCTGCTTCTTACCAACGTTTTCCAAGCCTGATTGGCTCATTTCTCTCTGAATTTCGGTTCCGACAGTTCTTTTGGGAAGTAAGTAGTGCGGAGAGAGAGAAAATAAGTTTTCAACTGCATCCATCAAATATTCTCTGGGAGGGACTGTCGTTTCTCTCTCAACCGGTTTTAAAAAAGACACCAACTTTCCACCTGCGACATCCCTAAAGGAGAATCCGGGAAGCCAAAGGCGGCTTTCCAGATCCATGTCCAACTTCCCCAGACTTTTGGGGGGGAGGGGGAGGGGGAGAGGAGTATGAAAGAAAAGGACCCCTTTATTCGAATCAAGAACCCTAAGCAGAATCTGACAATTTTGGCTTGGAGTTTTTCCCACAGCTGCCAAACGGCCCTTCCACGGGTGAGGAAGTCCACAAAATTCGTTCCAAGTCCGGGAAGGCAACTTTTGCTGCGTGGGGCGAGGAGGGGAGGGGGAGGGGGATGAGGGTAGCGCTCTGGAATGGTGTGGGTGGAGTGGGGGGCGAGGGGGTTACGAAATGGAGAGAAGCGTCCGCCCCCAGGTTGGTTGCAAACTCGCCGGGCTTGGCTCGGGCGCGCCTTCTCCTTTTCCAGCACAGCAAAGAGTTAAGGAGGATATATTTTTTTGAGGATTGGGGGTGGGGGTGGGGGTGGCAGAATTACGTGTGCAAGGAGGGGGGGGCGTTAAAGCTCTGTGTGGGTAAGGAAGGGGACAGAACAGTGACCCCAAAGCTCGGCCTGGCTCCCCAACCTCCTTAAAAAAAGTGGGAAAAAGAAACAACACCTCCCCGATCTGCCAGGTTGCCCAAAAGCGCGTGGGAAAAAGGCCGCTCGCCCCCACCTCTTCCCCGCCCCCCCCCGGAATAAGCAAGCCTCAATGAAGCCAAGGCCGCTTTCTCTCCAAACTCTGGAAGGCAACAGAGGGACTATTGAGGGGAGGGGGGGGGCTTCAGCCAAGCACGCCAGAGTTCATTGCTCCCCCACGTCGCCCTCACGCTGCCTGCCTTCTGAATGTCCCTTCTTCCATCGCCCCCCAACCACCCAATTGGCTGCCTGCGGATGAAGACGGGGGGTGGGGGGAAAGGGAGAGGAGGAGGAGGAGGAGGCGATGATGGGTTGGTTTTTTTTTTTAAAGGGGGGGAAATCCGTTTGCATGGCAACCACCCAGCGGTTCTCAGCCCAAGAGAAAGGAAACTTTTGTGGGGGCTGTCAATCACGGGGGCCTCCCCACTTCTTCTCCATCTCCCCCCCCCACACCTGCGAAGCTCGCTGAATTTCAGGCGGGCGCGCCAGTCTTAAAGGCGCAGGGTCTCCTCCTCCTCCTCCCGGGTCCTCGGGGGGCGGGAGGGGAGAGGGGGCGACGGGGGTAGCGTATGGCGCAAAGCTTTTCAATTGTGCCACTTCCAAACCTCCCTCCTCCTCTCCCCGGGGGGGGGAATAGCGATTGGGGGTCCGGTGGGGGTTCATTTTCCTTTAGTTTAGAGGAAGTCCGCTCAGGCTGCAGGGAGGGCTGCAGCCCTGCATCCCGGGGGTCGCATTCACACGTCCCACCCGATGAATTCCCGGGTCCTGTGAATCTGACCAGAATCATTCCCCCCCCCAATCAAGCCAGGTGTTTGGAGCGACACGGAGCCGTTCTCACGTTCTTTTTTCCCCACCCCGTAACACAAGGAGAGAATACTGAAGGGAGGGAAGAGTTGAGGCTAGCAAAACAAGAGCGTATCGTTTATTCGTTCGGGGTTTTTTTTTTATGCCCTGTGGTTTATCATTTCGCCGGGAAAATTCATTTAGCGGAATGGTAGCTGTGAATTTCGCCCGGGGGTTTATTTAATCGGGGGAGGGGGGCGTGAGAAGGGTTATCTCGGAGAGGGTCGGGAGCGGAAAGGAGGATCAGAGAAAATTAGTAGTAGGAGCGGACAGGCTGGTGGGTCGCGGTTAGCAAACACATGGGGATGTGATCCAAGGCGAGAAGACGCGTGTTGCTCCTTTCCAGCGAGGCCGCTTACAGTTAGCACCTATCACCCCCCCCCGTCCCACGTGAGAGTTGGGCCTGGGAGTTTGAACAACTCTGAACGGTTACTAAGTAAACTGTTGTAACTTGACTACCTGTAGTTGCTTCCAATTTTTAATATTTTGTTTTATATATATAAAAACCGGACTCTTTCCAAGAGAAGGACCACTAAAATAACTTCAAAGGAACAGCCCTCTTTGGAATATGCTTCAGGCAAAGTTCAACCCCTTTGACAAAGGGCAGAGAGTCCTGGAGAAGAGGCTCCTGGCTGGAAGGGATGAATAATCAGAGATGGGAGCAAAATACTTGCAGCCAGAAAGGTAGCAGCCCAGGGATAGTCCTGGGTGAGAATTAGTCCCTGGATGTGGAAGTGGATTGAAAGTAGAGGATGAGTTATTGGAGGTTTAGTTTTTTAAAAAAAATATGGGAATAACAACAAGAGTATTGTGGGAAAGAAATATTTCTTTCTAGCCAAGTCAGAACTGAAGAAGCTTCTTGGACGAGAAGCGAAACGTCTTCAAGGAAAAACTAACGCCCAGTTGTCTTTTTGAAAAAGCACCTTTGGCATAATAAAGCTGGCCTTATTACTCTGACAAATTCATTCTTGGATCCTGAGACCAGCTTGGTCCACAGAAATCAAAAATATTGATTTATTGAGTTGACATTGTCTCAAACAAGGACCCATCAGCCATTCAAGTCCATTCAAAGAGGGAGGAAATTACCTTCCCATTTCAGAAAGAGAACTTCAAGGTCACCCACGGATTCATTTCTAGGCAAGGACACAACTTAAGTACCAATAAAGGAGCATATTTGTAGCTCAGGGCTGAAATGCAGACGTTTCATGACCCAGTTAGGTAATGTCATCAGTGCTGGTCCTAATGATGTGTGATCCCAGGGACTAGCATTGTTAATGTTACCTAGTTGGGCAATGAAACATCAGCAAGAAAACAACCAAGCTCAGAGAGAGTCAAGGACTTCTCACAATTTTAAGTGCTCCAGAAAGTATCTATCACCTGGAGAAAATGTCCTTCCTTCCTTCCTTCCTTCCTTCCTTCCTTCCTTCCTTCCTTCCTTCCTTCCTTCCTTCCTTCCTTCCTTCCTTCCTTCCTTCCTTCCTTCCTTCCTTCCTTTTCTTCTTCTTCTTCTTCTTCTTCTTCTTCTTCTTCTTCTTCTTCTTCTTCTTCTTCTTCTTCTTCTTCTTCTTCTTCTTCTTCTTCTTCTCCTCCTCCTCTTCCTTCCTTCCTTCCTTCCTTCCTTCCTTCCTTTCTTTCTTTCTTTCTTTCTTTCTTTCTTTCTTTCTTTCTTTCTTTCTTTCTTTCTTTCTTTCTTTCTTTCTTTCTCTTTCCAGAGAGGAAGAGCAGAGGCAGACATAACAGTTTGGTAAATAAAGGAAAAGCTACAGAATGGCAGGCCCAGGGGGATGAATTAGTTATTACTACATTTTCAGAGAAAGTGTGGTGGGGGCATTTTTGATCAGGGAAGAAATTAGTTTGCAAGGACACACAATAGAAGCTTAGCCTGTAAGGGATGTGAGAATGGGGAGGGGGGTGCCTCCACTCTTGACAACACTTCTTTCTGTAAATTCTCTCTCTCTCTCTCTTTCTCTCTCTCTCTCTCTCTCTCTGTGTGTGTAGTGCCTTGCTTTTTCAATTACAGCCATTCATTTCGCAGAAGGCTGGCGTGATGGGGAAACACAACCTCCTTCTTCGCACAGCCCAGCCAATATTAACTGTTGCATCCTTAAAAGAATAGCCAAGATCGGAGCCATTCCAGGAGCTGGATTCTTCTGTTCCTGACTGTTAATTAATCACCCGGAGAGGAGAGGGTGATGGTCGAAATGAAGGATGCATCTTGGCTTTCCTACCGCACAGGAACAAACTGGGTTCAGGCATTGAACAAAGCCAGGGTTTGTTTTGAGTGAGCTTTTTTCTTTTTCTTTTTTTTTCAAAGAAGCCAGGTTCAGAAACAATTTATCATTGCTCCCTGTTCTGGATGACAGGCATTTGCTGAATAAGTCATAGCCAGATAATGACGTGATTTGAGAGCATGGGGGAAAATTCACCCCAATTTCTCCTCACTTATCTACCCTACCTTTTCTCAAAGACCCCCCCCTCCGTGTTGCCTCCATCCTTAGTATCATGTGACCCACAGCAACCTTGGAAAGGAGCAATGGATTCCAAGTCATCTTGCAACATTTTTAAAGGGAGTGAATGTGATTGTATAGAGAAGGTGGATAGACTACGGGCTTCCCAGGCACTTTAGAGAGAGAAAAGACGGAAAAATTCTAGAATAGCCAGCACGGATGATGCTACCTAGCTGAGTGATCAGATGTCTGCAAGAAAACAACCAAGCTCAGAGAGCATCAAAGACCCCACAGTCCTCCGTTTCCTCACCACAAATTCCACACCCTTCTGGCACTGATGATGTTACCTAGTTGGGTAATAAAATGTCTGCAAGGAAACAAACAAGCTCAGAGAGCACCAAGGATTCCACAGTTGTTGTCTTTGTCATTCTCCTCCTCCTATCTACA